CCTCCGCCGGTTTCGATTTACAGCGTGCACGATACGTGGGACAGTTTGTCGCTGCATTACATCGACAACCCGTCCGACTTCCTGAAGGTTAGTTTTTCGTTGAAGATACGCCGATTGATCGCTGTCCGAGAATCGTATGCGTCTATGCTTTCATGTCAGTTTGTCTTTCTGTTGTAGTACATATGATTTCGTTTCCTAGCGGGTACGATTTCTTCCCTTCTTCCAGGTTCACATATGCATTTTACCTTATGTTTCGAGCATGTTTTCAACTTTCATACTAGAACTCGTGTTCGTTGAACCGGATCGCACGTCCAGCGCGAACGACGCAGCAACAGAGTTAAGTGAACCAAGTAAAGTTTTGCATTAACTGTCGACTTCAGTGAGTTTGGTGGTTTCTGGTACTTGGCAGTGTCGAGATCAACGGGTATAGTATGTCACTCCGCTGAGCTTTGCGCATCCGTTCTTTGTTCACGTTTCGGCGCCGGTGCACAACACGAATCTCGTCAACAGCGGTCGTCACAGGCGAATCCTTATTGACAAACGACGTGTTCGTTCTGTGACACTGTATATGTATCTGCTGCCATATATATTTAAGGTGCTGTAGAACTGAAGTGGCGATCGACATCACAGATCGAAGACGTCCTATTAACCTATTAATGCCAATTACGCAATATGATGACCCCGACAAGCAGCAGCAACAGTGGGCTAGTTGGTCAGGTTGAAAGCCGGCTTCAGGATTTGTTTTACGTGCGAGTGGAACCATCGTGACCGTATCACGGTTCCCAGTTGGCATATGAGTTGTTCGTCGAAAAGGTTCATGACTGGCTCACTTAGCCGCATGCTTTATCCAACGCGATGTTATATTTATGTGAAGAAACTTACCACGTAGGTTTGGCAGGTCAGAAAATCGCTGTTGATCGAGCAATCATCCTTAGCAAGAAAGTATTAAAGTATTTAGAAATAACATTTTTGTTTTAAAGAGCGTTCTTGAATTCTGAATCGAATGCTAATCGAAAGTTCGTCATCGTCAGCGTCTACAAATGGTTTACTGGGCGAATAAATTTTATTGAACAATATCCGAACGTTTCGGTTCGAGCTGGATCCATCTTCAAATGACATCATGTAAGAAGTGCAAAAACGATGATTACTGAC